AGTAAACATCATGTGCTGCACCGCAGTGCGTCTCATTTCTGTTTGTGTCGTAGACAGCACATTCAAATGTAGAAAGACGCGTTTCTACTCACGTAAATGTATCATGTAGGACATCTTCCCCAGCAGCACTTCCAGGCGTAGAACACCCGCCTCCAGGTCAACAATGGTACAGCCGGAGCTGGGGATCTGACAGAGACAACATGTTACCCATTGATCCAGGAACCTCTTGGTCAGTTCACCCGTTACAACTTCATGCTTCAAGCGGTTCCTAAAATACAACTTCACAACTTGGCTTTAAAGCTTTCATTAACAATGACGTTTGATGAATAGAGAAAGTCCTGCCAACGCTCACATGGCTGGTGGACAAAGGTGAAGATCAAGAGGGTCTGGTTTGTGATTAATGCTGCACATAGAGGGTGCAGCAGGGGACATACAGGAACAGAGATTTCTGGGTCCTTTCGTTGTGCCTGACCTCATGGAGCAAACACACTAAACACTCACTTGTGACAACCCATTGAGTTGGGGAGTTGTTCCTGTTCCGATGTGAGGGTCCTGGGACAGAGGATGTCCCATGTGTGCAGATTGTAAAGCCCTCTAATGCTAATTTGTGGTTTTGGGCTGTAAAAAATAAATAGGAAATTCAAATTGAACCCTCTTTGAGCCTATTGAGTGTCGGGTCATCGGGGAGATTCAGATCACCTCGAGCCTCAGTTATAAATCTGTAGAAATCAGGCCAGAGGGTTGCTTACGGACAAAACACAGAAAGCACTTCTGCCCAAATATATGCTGATTTAGAACTTTTCTCTTTATAAATCCCAATCTTGAAACTTGAAATTTTGTGCATGTGAGCAAACTTCTTGCACCACCGTTTTAACGGCAATTGTTGCCAATAAAAAAGCTAGTTGGTGAAATACCCCTAAAGGTTGCAGAGAATGAAGGCAAATTCAGAGAAAAGGGTTATAAAAATAAATGTGACCCCGTGTTAAAGTACTTGTTGGGGAGGTAGAGGCCTGGGAAAATATTTTGTTAGATGGACACAATGTAGGCATTACAAATGACAGAAAGGCATTGTGTGTGAATTCTGCCAGCACAGAAGATCAGATCCTCAAAGAGACACCTTCAAGTAAACACCGGGAGAATTCAAATGAAGAACATTTGTATTTATTTCACACAACCTAATCATTTCACACAGTTGCTCTGGTTTCATCCTTCAGACGGTGTGTGTGTGTGTGTGTGTGTGTACATGGGTCAGACATCGCTGAGGGAGGCTCGTTCCTGTCAAGTTTGCTTCAAAAGTGGCCACGCCTTCTTTTGTGCAAAAGAAACATTTAGCAATGAGAACATCTTCTCCTAAAGCACAACCTCACAAAGTGACATTTCCTTTCAAACAGCACATTGTTATGTCTGTCAATTTATTATTACCAAAGCATTTTTCAAAAATACAGTCATATTACAAAAATATGAATGTGTTGCATTGCATTTCTAAGTTGTGCTCCTAAAATGTTCAGTAAGGAGCACCAGTGCTCAGAGTGGAAAGGTTAGTCTGGAGCACTGCTCTACGTTCATGTATCTCTTAGTTCTTCCTTCCTCTGTCTTGCCTTGAGCTAGAACGTGACACACTCGTCTCTTCAACCACCTGCCATCTCCACTGTATGCCGTGAGAGCTTAGTGACTGATTTGATGCATCATGGATGTGTATATGGTTGATGAGTGATTACCTTTCTTTTAGCATAAACGACCAGATGAACAGTCGCATCAGTTTGGAACCAGTCGTACCTACACAAACAGACAGCAGATGATAATAATAATGCCAGTGAGTATGTCTTGATTATATTCGTTTTTAGATGTTCATGTTGTGTCATACCGCGGCCGGGAGTCTTTCTCTGTGGGAGCAGCCATTGACATCGGGGGGGCGAGGCTGGTCTGTGGTGAAGAAGGGATGCTAGCTGAGAAGAAAAAGAGAAGTGAATGCCAACAACTACTGAGGCATACCCTCACTCTTTAGATAGACACTGGTTCTCCACTTCCAATACTTTATAATAAATCAAGTTGTTGACACCTGCTTGAGATACGCAATCCTACACAGCATTTAGTGTGTGTGTCTTTTCTTAGCAACATTTTGTGCGCAAGCTTTTCAAGGCAGCATCAGGGCCATATTTATCACTAAATGTCTGTGAGCAGAAACAATGCGCATATTAAAAGGAAGATTTTCATGAAATGATATTGTTTTATGCGATTGACCTTGTGTAGGACCAATCAACAGGGTCCTCACAGCGCTACACTTATTGACAACAGATGATTTAGATCTACCACAATCCACCTATAAAATGTTAATGAATCATTTATATCTTAGGCATTGAATGTGTTGACATCTATCACACTTCTGTCCATCCTGATAGAGGATCCCTCCTCTGTTGCTCTCACTAAGGTCTTTTCCTTTTTTCTCCCCGTTAAAGGGGTTTTGGGGGAGTTCATCCAGTTCCGATGTGAGGGTCAAAGGTCAGAGGATGTCCCATGTGTACAGATTGTAAAGCTCTCTGAGGCAAATCTGTGATTTTGGGCTGTACAACATAAATTGAATTGAAGAAAATATGAATGTGCATTTATCTTCGAAGTCAAACAAGTGGCTTACCAGTGTTTGCTGTCAGCCTATGATACAGATGGTATATCAGTAACTAGTGTGTGCTTTGAGACCTAGTTCATCTATCAGAGTGATTCCTGGAGGGATTCTGAGACGCTTTACAGATATGAGCCGTGCATTTGTTACGTTAAAGAAAGAGAACCCATAGTGACTGAGCTGCTGCTATTACAACTCAGGTGATGTGCAGCTCCCAGTGCTGTGTGAGAGTCTCGTTCACACTGAGGTAAGGCTGCAGATCAACGATGGTGTGTGAACACACTGATGCAGAGATACTGTATGTTTGTGTGTGTGTTCACCTTTAATGACTGTAGTGGCCATCCTGCCCACCAGGCACTCTTTCAACATGGACTCATAGTTCACCCAGCGATGGACCTATGCACAAACACGCGTGACCACAGCAACACATGAAAACCCATCAAGTCACTTATACCCACATTAAAGAGCTTACAGAGCTACAACAAACTTAGCAGCACTCACAAGACAGCCCGAATGAAATACGTTCCAGTCCCCCCAAGGGCCTGGGGCTTCTTTTAACTCCTGTTAAGCTTTTCTAAGGGACTTAAAGAACTAAATGATGCCTCGGCAGATAGTCACTGCCTAGGCATCATTTAGTTTGGCCCCAATGAGCTACGAAGAGCAAGCAGGGGACCAATATTTACCAGCTGAGAATAATATATTTCTAACAGCTTCCATACCTGGTCAAACAGGTCAGTGCCATCTATCCCAGCTGCCTTCATTAGCTCCTCCTCCCCACCAGGGTGGTAGTCCATGTAGGGGCTCACATTGTAAACCATACCTGAGAACATACAGAGAACAATGAGCTTCATGTGCATCCCTTCCCAGTGACTGATAACACCACACACACCAAAGTCAAATGATAACATCAAAACATCTTATTGGTGAAATCATTTTTGATACCACAGCAAAGAACCCACAACTACCATCAGTGAGAACCAAGGGCAGAGATAAACAGACTTCCATGATGCGTATGACCCCCACACACACACTCACGTGGTTCAGCACTTATGTGAACCGTGGATTAATTACAGTGTAAATAAAGTTTTACTGACGATCATTATGCAACAATTTTCATAAAAAATATGCAAAGGACATCATTCATGCTTTTCTAGTCACCGATCTCTGATAATGTTACGTTGTAGAAAAACAATCCTTGTTTGAATGACACGAGGAGAGCTAGTAACAATGGAAGGTTCACTTCAGTTACATTAGGATGCCTTCAGGCGCTGTTCAGTAAGGAGAATTGGGAAAAGGTAAATTATAACCTTATCATGAAGTGTCTACATGTAATCTGTAAAATGTAGTTTTTGGTGACAAACTTGAATACACAGTTGTTTGAAGGAGACGTTTTCACAGCAACATACACAGATATTAGTGAGGAATACTGTTTACAATACCTCCAGCAGCTTATAATACATCATTAAAACTACTAATGACAGGATCTGTTTTAAACAATACATAAGAATCAATCATTAAATCAATCTTTTATTTCCTAAAAGATTGATTTAATACAATCTTTTAGGAAATAAATATTTCCATATCATTTTAATAGTGTGTTTTCGTGAAGAAAAAACCTACTATTAATTACTATAACAAAGTAAAAGGATAACAATTTGGAATTTCTATCTGCCTCTTTAAAGTTCCCCGACTTCATTAAAGACGTGGAGTTCAGAGCCAACATAAACAAATGGATCTACACTTATACATGGATTGCAACTTGGACTTTTACTGCCAAACAAACGTGTTTGCCTCCGGGTAGAATTAGATTTCCTAACAGCTACACTTGTGCTCACAAAGCATTCGATCCCTTTTACCCTCCTGCACTCACACACTTCGCTGAGCACAGGGGGATTGTTCATTTTGTTTTCTTTAAAGAATGACAAACCATCGCGACCCAATTCACAACAGGCTTCATCTGTAAGTCATGAGACGATTGAATTGATGCCTAAATGATCATTCGTGACCACTTTTACTGCCATTTCCACGTCACCGTATATTATCTTGAAGAGGTAAACCAGCCATTTCTAAAAGATATACAGTCGATAAATCACAATGTTATTTCAGGCATGTGTTATTGAAAACATGTACACATGTACAATACTTAATTAATGAGACTAAATAAATGCATTTCTGCATTATTTTCATTTCCTCTCATAAGTCAAACAAACAATGTTTAATGGACAGTGTTTTCCTGACGTTGAACTGTTGATGTGAAGATGTCGGTCATGTTGCCCAGAGAATGGTTCTGTTGCTGCGGTTTACGTTCCTCCTGATGTATTGGTTTTGTTTGTCATTTCCTCACTTGTGTAACAAATGGGCAACAACTGCATTTTGTTGTGTAACCCTGTGTTGCACAACAACACAGGGTTAACCAAGTTATCCATAAATCCTTCAATGCTTGAGGACTGCACGCTAGCCTTTTATCCTAAATGAAACATTATAAGTACAATTATCAGAACAATACAAACATTCGGCTCCTTCATGTGCCATAAGTGCTGCTGATGAAAGACATTCTAATCCTAATGAATTCTCCTGTGACCCACATGTTGGTCACAGGAGAATGACTGATATGATATGAAATGAACGTTCCATTTTTAATACATTTGCTTCATCACCTTATATCATATTGAATAGTTAAACCAGGCATTTTGAGGGAATGTATGTTTGATAAATCACAACTTTGTTTCATGCATGTCCTATTGAAAACAACTACACACAAATGAGACCAAACAGATGCATTTAGGTGGAGTTAACAGGCTCTGGGTTGTTTTTCATCAGCAAAACAAACAGAATGTACCCGAGCTTTTCATATGAGATTCAATGAAGACAATAGAAGAAATGCTGTTCAGGAAATTCTGCAAAATGATTTGGCGACCTTAATAAAATCTCTTGTGACCCAGTCAATGGGAATGACTGCTCTTGTGGACATAAGGAAGTGCTTTTCCTGACTCTGAATTATACGATAATCAAACGATCAAGTATCATCAAGCTGACAGCAAGTATTCTCCAGCCTGCTAAACATCACAGTTACCGTGCAGGTTAACTTATTCATCCGTTTGTCCCACGTCAGACCACCATGCAGGCTCACCTCGTATGCAGGTCCAGCAGTCCTCTCTTGTGTTGTGGTTCTGCATCTCTTCTTGGGTAACTTCGATCAGGTGCCCTCTGAGCCCCGTCAGATCTTTTCCACTCTTGGAAAACCGAATCCAGTCCATCAGACTGTGGCCCGGCTTCAAGTCCACCTGACAAGAGCACAGTCATGTTACAGAGGATTGTCTTCTGGAGACGTGTGGAGGAATGTTAAAAGATATAAGACACAACGTTACATTGAGTCCGTTTAACATTAACATACCACTTGTTATTATCTGTTGAAATGAACACATACACTGTTAACTGTGTGTCCAAATGAAGGATTTAAGTTAGCTAGCTCCAAGAGAACTTTTGACTGTCGGGTTTTAGAAGAAGAGATCGTTGGTACCCTGTATGATGGAATGAAGAAGTGGTTGTTGGGTATAGGGTGTTAGCTAACGTTACCTTGTTCCTACGGGACTGGCCGGACGGAGCGACCCGCTGCTGGGAGCGCGGCGCAGGGAACGACTGGGTCGGGACGTTCAACATGTTGTGAACGCTTCTGAGACAACCTATTCAACCAACGGCAGTTTACCACAGTGGCATATAAACGACAGTTTAGCAACGCAGTCACACTGGCTGCTAGATGTCAACGTTACGGGTACGGGTTCTTCCCTTGTTGAGACACATCTCTGTTGAAACTGTGTTGAGCGATGCAACTTAGCTAACAGGCTAAGCTAAGCTAGGCTAAGAAGACATTACGCGCTCACGAACTAATAACAGCAAATTATACATCGTCACATTATATTTCAATTAAAGTAAATATTTGCCGTGTTAATCAAATATGTTATGTATATTATCAGGCAAATGCATTACTTGGTAGCTATCTAGTGACTCATTATTGTGAGCTAACTCCTGCCTTGGTTGTTCTACCACCATGTAACGCCAACACTAATTGTCGCACAATTTGACGACACCGTCAACAAACGGTGTCATCGAGCTGCGACGGTCCTCCGTTGCCCTCTACTGTTCTTATCATACATTGCACATAAAGCCACCAGCATGTAAGAATTAATCAATGAACAAGAAATAAATTAGTTATTGTAGGACTATATTTTTTTAAGCAGATATTTTGACATGGCAGAGCAGGAGTAGCACAGGTGTAATTTCAAACTTGAACAATGGCTGCATTCATTTCAGGTGTGCATGGCTCACTGACATGGTTGAGATATGGAACACAGTCAAAATTAACAATATGAATTATTCCTGTGCTTTGAATTCAAGCTGACTGACTGAAATCTCAATAACCTACCTGCAATCAAACTATTGAATATAGTGGTGAAAGATGAACCACTTTGTCCTCTGCTTGTTCCACTCTCACTGTCGTCATCATCGCCATCCTCTTCTGAGTCTCTCTGGGTCTCATAAGACATTGGGAAAACATGGTTTCTCCCACAACGTTGACATTGTATCTACCTGTATGTACAGTTTAATAAAGTGTACCTCGGACTTTCATCAGAGCAGCTAAAGGGTTTGCCTTTGAAAGGCTAATCTGCTAAGAGGGTTTAAGGACAAGAGTTCCCTGACTTCAAAATAAAGGTTCATGTGCTATTAAAGACTTAGCAGAGCTGATGTGTAATGTTGATCAACTGCAAGGATCTATTAGACGTTTTTTTTCACGGAAGGTATTTTGTCATTACATGCACAATTACACAGTCAAATGGGAGTCTGTTGATTGGATGGTCCATAAGCTTGTAGGTTTCACCTCCAAATATCCAAAGTAAGAGTTGAGTGCCGGACAGGAGAATAATTACAATTGCACCATGTTGCTTTAAAAACATATTACTGTGAACCAGTTGGAGAGATAGCTCGGATTAGCATGCTGAGCTACAAAATGCACAAAATAAGCAAAAATCCTTTCCAATCTGAATGCGTACAGTTCAGTTCAATGTGTGTGGGTCTGAAGGTAAGCAGTTCATTTCAGCCCCGTTCAGTTTAGAGTGTGTGTGTGTTTCTTTCCTCCTGCTTTTCTTTCTCTCTGTCTCCCCTGTTCTATTTCATCCTTCCTGACCGCCAGAGGCAGTGCTCAACACTGGATATCTTCTGTCTCACGCATGCGCAGGTCGAGTCTTTATATCAACAAAGTCACCTGTGACCTCGGATGACCCCCGTCGTCTATAAGTTCCGATGTCATCCTGAGATCAGTCCTTTTTCATCTTCTCGCTAGGCAGGCTAACTACCAATGGTAGCTTAAGCTTAAACAAAATTTGTCTACGATCAAGACATATTGGAGCTTGTCGCTGTAGCCTTGTGACCACCAGTCGGGGTTGCGGTTCTCTCGCCCTCCAAAGGCTGCGACAAGCTGTCCCTCTTAGGAGGGAACGGCGTGTTTCACCGTTCGAAAACCCGGACTGGATTCACCAGTCTGATAAGGGCCACCTAAATCGTGAACAGTAATCGGTGGGATCGATTGACATTGTTTTCCATAACTGTTGTTCGTTTTCCACGGTTGGCAGAGCACTTCCACTCTACCTAATAGACTGGTGTGCTAACGAGAGGCTAGAGTTGTACACTGTTGGGCCGCCCTTCACAGTGAGCACTCTGTGAGCACCTTCTCACTGGAAGGACTGTTTCTGGCCTGTTTCCACAGTGGCAGAGTGCTCTCGCTCAGGCAACCTGGTGGGACACCAATATCTGCAGCGACTGTCCTAGTGAGGAGAGTGTCCGCTCAGAAGTACTTAGCAGCCCGCATCAACTAGTGGGGCAGGGTCCCTCCAGAATCACGGCCATGTTTAACTCTCCCGGCTGTAGGACCTGTATGGCTCCTCTTCAGCTTGAAGACGGCCATGACCTCTGCCCCTCTTGTCTTGGCCTCGAGCATCTGAGGGAGGGCATTTTGGAGAACCCATGCATGAACTGCAGCATCATGCCTTCCACAATAAGGTCTGCTAGGCCGGCCGAGGTGGAACACCTGATGGGTGAGGTCGACCTTCCCCCATCAGGGCAGCTGAATCCAGCCCAACCTACCTATTCCAAACGACCAGGCCACAGAAGCCGCAGGGGCTCCCTCCAAGAGTGCTAAGTCCGGCATGCTGTCTTCTAGAGCAGTGATTCTTAACTATGGAGCGCCACCTAGAGGGCCGCAAAAAACTTTCAGTTTTGCACCTGTGGGCCGTGAGGGCCGCGGGACCGCATAGGTTATCAATTGAAGACACCAGAGATATTACTGTTATCCATGAGACGCTCAGTTAAAATATAGCTTCCCGCCACCGGCGGTAATGCGTCAGTCAGTTGTCTAACAAGCTCCAATATGCAGAAGAAGACACTCAGCTAGCCGCTAGCCGCTAGCCCAGGGGTCGGCAACCTGTGGCTCTTCAGCCTCTCTGTTGCGGCTCCCTGAGTCTGCATCAGGGGTCCCCAACTGGCGGACCGGATCCGGACCCAGGCCCTAAATCCGATTGATAATTCGGAATTATACATATTAGGCACTGAGTTTATACTTTAACCGGCGCCTCTTATTCAGCCGTTACGGCACTTTTTCGGCGGTGCAGGAAACACACCGACCAATGCGTTGTAAATCACATCAGGTGATGCAGCTCAGCCAATCAAACATGAGTATTCTGACAAGTTTCCTGACTCAAGCGAGGTTTACACACACCGTAGCTGTGTCTCAATTCAGGGGCTGCATCCTTCGGAGGACCCAGCCCGCAGTCTACGCAGTCACACTATATATATTTATAGTGTGTATATATATACATTTATAGTGTATATAGTATATATATAATCCCTGCTCAGCAGGATTATAAATATATATACATATAAATACATTAAACTAAAACCTATTCAGTATATATACTGGAAAGGTTTTAGTTTAGTGTTTTAATCAGTTTTTTATTTTATTTATTTATTGGTTTATTTGAATGGGACAGTGCACATTAATAAAAACATTTCTGCAAATGTGCCAGAGTTAGCCAAACGGCTGTTTTTCATCTGTAGTCCCTAAGGCAGATGTTAACAAAATAAACCTAAAAACAATGTAAGATTAAAGTTAAAAGGTTATACAATATTGACACTTAATGCGTGGACAAACAATGAAAAAAAGTGAGAATTAAAGCTGCGAGCAGCGATGAACGGGCCCTCGCAATCTGCAGCGCGTCGGAGGTGCTGGCCGAGAACGTCCGCGACCGTCTGACGGCGCGTCCGCGAGTGAGACGGATTTAATCCCGCCTGGACCGCCTGATGCTGGAAATGATGCTTTGCAAATAGTCCGATGCTTCCTGTATCCTCTGCCTGGCACTACAGAATGTGTGCAAACATGCATCATGTGTCAAATGTAAACCACATTGTGGAAAAGTCATGTAAATCTGAGGTGTTTATCACAAAATCCAGATTTCCTTTCGCCAGCAGGTGGCGCTGTGAGTATTAAGGGTAATTAGCTTGTAGACATCCTCAGGCCATGAGTGTTATCAAGCGTGTGAAGTTTGAGACCATTTGGAACAAGTCCAGCTGAGTTACATCAACTTTTTTCATGGGGAATCACGTAAACTAGCCTCCCGCTACGGCTGAACGATTCCGTCAAACGTAAAGCTTTTGATAACTTTTAATCACAACGGTCTTGACATGGTACTGACCAAATTTGAAGAGGATCAGATAAATTCCCTAGGAGGAGTTCGTTAAAGTATAGCGACTAGAAATAGGCCAAATTCTATGGAAAAATGACACAAAAATGAAATTTGCCGACTTTTGGTAGGGTTTAGAGCATAGTCCCAAGAGACTTATATTTAAGTCTCCATAGGATACATGTATCCTCCAAGTTTTATACATGTAGCTGAAACGTAGCGCTGGGGCTGCCCTTTTGAAATATTGTAGGGGGCGCTATAGAGGCAATTTAAAATGGACGATTACAAAAATCATATAAATTATTTCTTCAAATGACCTTTGACACATGTACGAAGTTCCATGACTTTTTGAGCATCCCAAGTCACTAAACCATCAGCTTCCTTTTTCATGGCGAACGATGCGTCACCACGGCAACAGCGTTCAACAAAAATGCACAATATTCTCGGCGATTTATTATCAATGTCTTAAGGCTATCCTTACCAAATTTGAGACTCATCAGGTCACCTGGCTAGGAGAAATAAATAAAAGTATAGAATATAACATTTTCTTTAGCCAGTAGGCGGCGCTATGAGTTATTGAATTTTTTTCAATTGAAGTTTGTTCAAGCTTGAAGTAGCATCATGCATAAGAAGTTTTGTGCGGATTGGATAATGTACCTGGGAGTTATAACAACTTCTTTTTTCATAAACAATGAGGCAAAATGGCCGCCACGCCACGTCAAGGTTCTTCGATGAAAGCGCACGATTTTGATAACTTTTAATCACAAAGGTCTTAAGAGCATCCTGACCAAAGGAGATTGATCGCTTAAAATCTGTAGGAGGAGTTCGTTAAAGTGTGAAGGCTGAAATCTGCAAAAAGTGACAAAAAGCACAACTTTGCTGGTTTACTGTAGCGCCCCCTAGAGGTTGAATGCAAAACAATTCTCAGGGTATGTTACAGGATGCGATGTGCACATATGCTGGAAATATTGTAATTTTAGGACAAACGGTTGAGAAGTTATGTGTATTGAAATTAAGCCACGCCCCTAAGAAGTTTATTGGTCCATATCTTCTAAACGCTAAGAGCTATCAAAAAGCTTTTGATAATTTCTGATGATTTACATCCAATAATAATCGACAGCAAATTTGTTAGAAATCGGACCCAGCATGTAGGAGGAGTTTGCAGAAATGTGTTTTTCACTAAATTCAAAATGGCGGAAAATCTAAGGAGGCGGAGCTTAGGGGTCTGAGAGGCTTTTTTGTAGCTCTAGTGGAGTCGGACATGTATGTCGAATTTCAAGTAAATCAGACATACTGGCCGAGGGGCGTCGCTGGGCCGATTTGTAGGGTGCG